TCAACGTTGGTGGGGAAGTGAAGGCCTTTGCCCCTGAGGAAATATCTGCTATGGTCCTTGGTCACATGAAGCAAATCGCCGAGGCTTATTTGGGGACCAAAGTCACTCATGCTGTCATAACTGTGCCAGCATACTTCAACGATGCTCAGCGACAGTCAACAAAAGATGCTGGCGTTATTGCTGGTCTGAATGTGTTGCGGATAATCAACGAACCCACGGCAGCGGCAATTGCTTACGGATTGGACAAGAAGGAAGGCGAGAAGAATATCCTGGTATTCGATCTCGGAGGTGGCACCTTTGATGTTTCTTTAATGACAATTGACAACGGAGTCTTCGAGGTCCTTGCCACCAGTGGTGATACACATCTTGGAGGTGAAGATTTCGACCACCGCGTTATTGATTACTTCATGAAGCTATATAAAAAGAAGACTGGTAAGGATGCCTCAAAGGACACTCGAGCCGTGCAGAAACTCAGACGGGAGGTTGAGAAAGCCAAAAGAACTCTTAGTACCGAACACAGCGTCACCGTTGAGGTCGACGATTTCTTCGAAGGCAACGATTTCTCAGAGACCCTCACACGTGCTCTCTTCGAGGAACTTAACAGTGCTCTTTTCCGCGAAACCATCAAACCTGTGCAAAAGGTCATGGACGACTCCGATTTGAAAAAGTCCGACATTGACGAGATTGTTCTTGTTGGTGGTTCTACTCGCATCCCCAAAATTCAGCAGTTGGTTAAAGATTTCTTTGACGGCAAAGAACCTAGCCGTGGTATTAACCCCGATGAGGCTGTCGCCTACGGTGCTGCTGTTCAAGCGGGTATCATTGGTGGCGCCGAAAACACTGGCGATATTGTTCTTCTGGACGTTTGCCCTCTGACACTGGGTATAGAGACTGTAGGAGGTGTAATGACGAAGCTTATTCCACGCAATACCGTGATACCTACAAAGAAGGCGCAGGTCTTTTCTACAGCTGCTGACAATCAACCGACCGTCACTATACAGGTTTATGAGGGTGAACGATTAATGACAAAGGATAATCATTTCCTTGGCAAGTTCGACTTGACTGGGATTCCCCCGGCCCCTCGCGGAGTC